AATGTGACCTAAATATAAGGGACACCAGGTAAAAAAAAAAAAAAAAAAAAAAATACAGAAGTAAGTTTTCAGTTCAACTGGTATTTGCTTACTGGCTAGAAATCCTGAATTAAAGTTTGCCTTTTTACAATCTCCAATTTTTATATACACCAAATTATTACATTAGAGCATAGTAGGTTTGATTCTGATTTATTCACATCATTCATTCAAGCATCCACCTGCTTCAACCACTGTTATCTCCAGGGAAGTGCTGGAGTGCCCACTGTGTTTCTCTTGGACATATTCTCGGAAGAGTGTTCTATATTTGAGAACAGATTTTTTTTTTTTTTTAAATAAGACCCTGAGACAGAACACGTGATTATCAGTAGCTCTTCTTTCTTTTTTGTGGTTCACTTTCCTTGAAAGAATTCATCTAAGAGAGCTTTAAATCTCACTATTTTATTCTTATTTAACAAACACATATGGTATTTACTATGTACCATATTGTAAGTAATTTCTTGCTATTAACTCATCTAATCATTATGAAAACTCTACCAGGCTGATATTCCTGTTATCTGCATTTTGCAGATGAGAAAACATAGACAAGAGGGGGGAAGTAAATTGCTACGGTGGCACTATTAAAAAATAAGAATAGTATTTGATTCTGAGCAGTGTGTCTCTCAGAGTTTGCCCTCATAAGCACTTAGCCATGCATCTTTTCATTGCGTCCAGCTTTATGTGGAAGAATCCCTGAGCAGTTTTTAGGTACACATGCCACTTTATCAAAATTCCTTAAATTCTCTCTGAAAAAGAGTTTTTAAAATTTCCTTCTGTTTAGCTAGCTGGTAGATAATATAAATCCATGAAAAACTTAAAGATTATTGATTGGATAGGATTTATCTTTCCGAATGTAATCATGTGGATTTCTAATGTTGAGAAAGTAAATAGATTTTAAAATGAAGGGGAGTATTACAAGTCAGTTATATTTCTTTTTTAAAAAATGGAATATAACTGTAATAGGTTTTTACCTAAGACTTAGTGAAATCTTAAAGAGATTAAGCCATAGTAGGAGCTCTTATGTGAGAAAGATTGACGTAGCTATGGGACATGACTATTTCTACGTACCATACCTTTTTTTAATGATAAAATAATCAAGGCAATGGAGCTTCAAAAATGTAAGCTGCAGGTGATGAGGAAGAATGGCAGAAGACAAAACAATAAAAGAAAGGGAGAGAATTACATAGCATGAGAGCATTGATCTACATCTGCTCATTTACCTTATAACCTAATGTCTATTATAATGCTGCCTTATCCATTTTTCTTTCTGTAAAGAAGTCCTTGAGGCTGGGTAATTTATAAAGGAAAGGCCCTTATTTGGCTCATGGTGTTTCTGCAGGCTGTAGAGAAAGCATGGTGCCAACATTTGCTTTGGATGAGGGTGTCAGGAAGCTTTCACTCATGGAGAAAGGCAATGAGGTTTCAGCATCATGTGCACATCACATGGTGAGAGAGGAAGGGGATTGGGAGTGAGTCAGGCTCTTTCAAACAACCAGCTCTTGCAGAAACTAAGAGAGTAAGGGCTCACTCATTACCGTCCACACACCACTCAGGAATATGCCCTCATGACCCGAACACTTCCCATTAGGCCTTGCCTACAGCACTGGGGATCAAATTTCAACATGAGACTTGGCAGGGCCAAATAAACCATATTCAAACTGTAGCAGATGTTTTGCAAATAGTAGAAATTCAAGAATATTTCTTGAAAGGGCTCTTAAAGCCATGAGAAAATAAAGGAATATAAAACAAAGAGGAGAAAGGGGAAGTGAAATATAGAATGTAAATGTAGAGAGATAAAGAGGGGATAATAAGCAGCTACACTCACAGGCTATTACGTATCTGTGAGGAACTTTATCACCTCATCTACTCATCACTACCACAGCCTTACTGGGTAAGATGCTATCACCACCATATCATTATCTGTAAGGGTGAGAGCAGCGATCCCCTTGCAGATGTTTGGCTTCAGAGTCAGCGCTTTTGCCCACTGTGCTAGATCACCTCAGAGGAGACAAAAGAACCTAGAAGGCAACAACATGAACACAAGGAATCAAATAATGACACCTGTTTTAGATTTTATTATTGTGCTAGTTACAAATTACTGGTAGCAAATTGCTCCAAAAGTTCTCAGCTTAAAGCAACAAACATTTGTTATCTCACAAAAATCCGTAAATTAGGAATCTAGGTGTGGTTCAGCTAGGTGCTTCTGGTTCAGTCTCAAGTGAAGTTGCAGTTATGATCAAACTGTATTCTTAAAAATATAGGTCCAAAACACATTGATAAATGGCTGATAATTGTGTGCACCCAGCTTTACAACTTCAGTCAGCTAAAAAGCTGCTACAGACAACCTATGTCTTTTGATGAGATCAGTCAAAATCTTTGATCATCACCACCCTATATGCAGTCACCCAAAGGGTTGAGATCTTGAGAAATTTTACCTTTCATATGCCATCATATTTGGAAGAAGTTTCAATGTTTTTATGTACATACAATGCTTGTGCATAGTCAACACTGTGATAGTGCACTTTCATGGAGTCAAAATTTGCAAAAAATATGTAAAACAAATTAGAACTCTAAAATTATACAATTTATACCTCCAATATTGAAAACATTGGAAATGATGTGAAGATGAAATACATAGCACAGGGAATTGTAAAAATAATGTTGTCAATTTAAAATAGTGGGGGAAAACCTGAAAAGTGAAAAAAAAAATCTGACATGAAAAAGTATGTAAAAGGGATAGCTTATGGGCAGTTGCATGGAGGTCATCCAAAAGAGCTCCCAACTTTCACAATCATTAACTGTATTTTGAAGTCTTTCATGGCAGTAAATAGCTGCTTTTTTTTTTCTTTGGGGCATGGCTCTCCTTGGAGAATATGTTTACATTAATTTTCTACATGGCATTACTTTCATTGAATCTCATCTATGATTTAATCTACACCATCACTAATATTTCCTCTTAATTTTTCCCATTTTCTGTGCCATGCTTCAGTGTTTCTTTGGGTATGCTGAAATGTATTCCACATGTACTCATATACGGACCACAAATTTGGCAGAAGCAAGGCTGATGATTAAACAGCAACATGATTGTATAAGTGTCTTCTTATCCTACCATGTGCATAATTATTTTCTAACCAGTTAATAACTTCACTGTCTTCTTCAGGCAAATGCAGCTTGAATTCGTTAAAAGCTCCTGGAATTTGATCGGCTGGAAGAAATGCCAATGCAAATGCATTTTGGTACTGAAACTTTTATCATGCCATATTGCATGACCAATCCACAAGTGTAACTTTCTGCCAAATGCAAATAAAGACAATCACAAGGTAAATTTCCACTTAACTTGATGCAAGTAACACAAACAACTATCCAGCATTTAACTGAAAATGCACTAATCCTTTTCCCAGAGCTTCGCTTTTAGGATTTTAATATTTGGGATCTTTAATCTTTTGGGATTGTGATTTTCAGGACTGTGGACATGAGGAATTTTAGTTTAGGAATTTTGATTTTCAGGAATTTTAATCTTTTGCAATTTCAACATTCAGGATTATGGCATTTGGGATTGTGTCTTTTGAGATTATGATAGGTACCACTTTTCCTAGTCAATTCCTGAAAGTGACATTCAATCACTTTTGCATATTTCATTTGTTAGACTGAGTTAATAGGCCCATCCCACAGCCAAAAGAAAGGGATACCAGGAGGGGGAGGACTTAGGGGCCACATTAGGGTTTGCCTACCTCAGTTGTGATGGACTTATTAAATACTGTTTAATTTGCTTGAATAATGTTTCTGGTAGTTTCAGCATTCTAATATAGAAGATGTGGAATTGAAGAAGTTGGTGTTTATTAAATTCGACTTCATTACTTTTAAAATTAAATTGTCTGAGAAGTATTCCATGTTCTCTGTGGTGTCATTTTAAAATTTTGTCACAATGAAAAAATGCAAGAATTTGTGAAGATAGCTCAAGATTAAAAATAAGATGAAAAATTACAAAACTTAGATGTACTATTCTATCAGGTTGACAGGTTCAAAAGGCAAAATTTTTCTCTCTCTTTTAGTTAGTACAGTGGCATCTTGCACCAAATAATTTACTGAACCATTTTTGCAAAAAAATGAATAGCAACAAATTAAATCAATACTGGAAACATAGTCACATTTCATGGTAGCTTGTGGAGAAAACGAAATGGAATAAAATAATTATTGTTTCATTTTCAAGATACAATAGTAATATCTAACTCATGTTCACGTAGGATGAGTCACATAGTTTGACATTTCAGTAAAGTGTGATATCATTCATTTTAGGGGATTATTGATCAATAATTATTATTTGAGTCCCTGCTGTATGTAAGACATTGTGGAAATATAAAGAAGTGTGAATTTTCATGGGTTGCAAGTCTTTTATTCATACACTTATTCATCAGTATGTGCACAGAAAGCCTACTATTTGCACAGGATGACTGCTGGAGTAATAGTAACAGGAAAAAAGAGAAAACATTTGTCAGTCTGATTCCTTCTTTCAAGGATATCATGCTCTCAGATTTCAATCTGAGCCTATGTACGTTTAATAGCTCAATTAGAGCTCTTAGTTTTTAGTGCAATTTTAGTAGACTCATGCTAAGTTATCTATTAAACTTTTAAAAATTCATCATTATGCTGAGCTCCTGTCACCTTTCCCTTGGAAGATGCCTACTCAGTTTTACTCTCAGTTTACAAATCATTTCAGCTGAAGAGTATTCTCTGATTACTTCAGGCTGGGTTTCTTGCCCTTTGTGCTCTTCTAGCCATGTAGACCACTATTCTCCCATTGTACAGTGCCTCCCTTTAAAAACAAAAACAAACTATATACCCCATTCAAGGGTAAGCTGCCTGACATCAGAGACCTGTTCATTTTGTTGTTATTACATCCCCATCTGTTTAATATTTATTTAGTCCCTATTATATACCAGGCACATCTTGAGGCTCTGGTAACATGCCAGTGAAGCTTATGTTCAGTGGAAAGAGACTGACAATAGATAAATACACTTGTACTCACTCAGATACTACTAAGTGCTATGAACACAAAGAAGGGCAAGATGATAAAGCAAGTAGACTGGTTGGAAGGCAAGGTTCTTTTAGACAAAGTCCTCTTTGAAGTGGTGATATTTGAGCTGAGAACTAGAGGAACTGAGGGAAGAAGACACAGGGGCAGCCTGTTCCTGGGAAAGTAGATAGTGAGTGCAAAGGCTCTAAGCTGGAGTTTGTTTCATGTAGTGAAGAAGCAACAAGGAAGCCTTTGAGGTTGGAGAGGCGTGGTGGTGGGCGTGTGAAGTAGAGGATTAAGAGATAAGATAAGGAAGATTTCCAGGAGTCAGATCACAGAGTATTTTGCAGATCAGTGTACTGCTAGCACCTAGCACACACAACTGGTGTTTAATGAGCATATGTCGAATATTGTTAGATTCGATTTGAAGTATAAAATCAATATTGCCTAATTGTATATTATTAGTATTATCACTAATGAAATACTTTGATAAGTAGATCAACATGTTATAATCACCTACAGATTTTTTTTTTTTAAAGGTCACGTGGCAGACACATGACATCCGAATCTCTGGATGGCATCTGTGTTTTTATTAGAGTTTTCAGGTGATTTCAGACAAGTATGAAAATCACTGAGTTAGATTAATATTTCTCAAAGTGTGGTCACCAACTTGCAGCATTGGAGATAATTAGAAATACTCATTCTTGACCTCATATCTATTGAATCAGAAACTCTGGGAGTAAAAGTAAGATATCTGCATTTTGTTGCTCAGAACATTCGAGTGTGTGCTAAAATTGGAGGATCACTGTCTTAAAAGTATGAGCCCCTTTCACAGGAGGCCTACATGCTGCCGCTTGTGCTGCCGCCATGTGTCTAGTGATCCCTGAAAAGTTCCAGTGTATTTTGTGAGTACTTAACACCAGCCTCGATGGGCGGTGGAAAACAGCCTTTGCCATCACTGCCATTAGTGTGTGGGCAGAAGACATGATCATGTGGTGTTGAGGAAAGCAGACACTGACCTCACCAAGAGGATGGGAGAACTCACTGAGGATGAGGTGGAATGTGTGATCACCATTATGTAGAATCCCCACCAGTACAAGATCCCAGACTGGTTTCTGAACAGACAGAAGGATGGAAAGGATGGAAAATACAGCCAGGTCTTAGCCAATAGTCTGGACAATAAGCTCTATGAAGAACTGGAGCGAATGAAGAAGATTCGAGCCCATAGAGGGCTGTGCCACTTCTGTGGCCTTCATGTCTGACGCCAGCACACCAAGACCACTGGCCGCCGTGGCTGCACCATGGGTGTTTCCAAGAACAAATAAGTCTGTAGGCCTTGTCTGTTAATAAATAGTTTATACACCAAGAAAAAAAAATTATGAGCCCACATGTAGACAAAATAGGTGATAAACTTTGTGATGTTAATTGTAGAAGTCCATGTTTCTATAATATGTGTCTAGTAGCAAAAATGTCTAAAATTAGCATCTGAGAATTGTTTCTTTGCATTAAAACACTCCCTCTCTTATAGTCTTTTGTTTAGCTAAAACTTTCCTGTAAGTGAAATATTGAGCCATTGTTAGTAGTACTTTAATATAAATGTGTTGACTGGAATAATTTCACTGACTGAGGATGGACCACTTTGAATATTAACAATGGTTTAAGTCAAAAAGATTTCTAGCGAATAAGAAGATGAAATGAAAGCATACTTTTCCTTTAGTCTCAAAATCATTGGTATTTAATAAAATTCCAATTAATAATCATTAGCACTTCATAAAGTTGAAAACTGATAAGATTTAAAAAAAATCTGACTATATTTTTTTCATATTTTGGTGGGCATATTTTCAAAAATGTATTTATTTCTTTTTTAGGTTAATTGTGCACCTGATTCTACATTTGCCATGTCTGTAAATGACAATTTTGACATTTGCAAGTCTAAAATAAAGTCAATATTTTAAATAATTTAAAAAGGGAAAATTTCTCCAAATGCTTTTCTTTTTCTTTAAGAAATCAGTCTTGCTGTTTAGGTTTCTATCTGACGTCACTCTTCAAAAGATTTCCACATGGAAAACCTTATCACCATTTACCCTCCTAGAGAAAGTTACATTTTCTTTCACAAAACCTGAATATTAATATGTACATTGTAGTTTATTTTTCCTTTCCCCTTATCTGGGAATAATAATGAATGAGATAAAGTGAGTTATATATATAGCTCAGGGGCACTGCTGAAAGGCTGAGTTAGAGCAATATGATAATTCTAGTTTTAGCCTTCTTATCAATGCAGCAGGTTCATTCAGGTTTAAGAATGAACTGTGAAAGTGTTTTGTTGTCTTGCTACACAAGTTTTCTGTTATATAGAAAACTCAGCTTTTTTTTCATGGTTTGTGGCTTAACCAGAGGCGATACCCAATATTGTCTGCAAAGTACAAGCAATATAGAGTTGAAGCACTTGAATAATATTAGTATCTTGGCTGAGAAAGGAGAAAACATAATCTATAAAAATAAGGATAATACAATTTGAAAAGGGAACTTTCACATGCCATAGGATTTCAGTCAGCTTGCTGACAAAGGACTTCAGAAATAAGGAGAGCTTGAGATGGAGAAAATGTAAATGCACAGTGTGTCTTGATATCTCCAGTTTGTGTCTTCATATGTTGCTGTATATTTGACTGATCAAAGTCTTGCTCAGATTTGCAAGCAAGCATCAAACAATCTGTAGAATTTTTAAATGAATGATTCCCTCTATGTCACTCAACCAACCAAATATGCGTTCTTAATTTTTCATTATACATATATTTTTTCAAGATAAATCCACACCCTTGCTGAAGAGGTGAACATAACCTTTGCAATATTTTATTGTCCTCCTGGGAACCTTTCTTCTGACAAAACAATGTTTTCTTAAATGTCAAATTTCTCCCATCTACTATTTTCGCATCAGAAGCCAACTTCAGAAAAACTAGAAAGTCTTTTTTCCCCCTTTTTCCTTTCAATCCAAATAAAATAGTGCCATTGAATATAGCGCTACATACTTTGCAGTCAAATCTGAATTCTCCAACTCGAAGTAGCATGAAACTGTCAAGTGTCTTTTCTCCTTTGCATATTTAAATGCCTTTTAAAATTATACGTTGCTACTCCCTGGCATTTATTAAAAACCATCAGTGGCCTAGTACTCTTTGTTACTGGATCACAACAGACAGTGTGAATATACCCATTTGCTAATGACTCCCCACAAAGCTCATGCATAGTATCTAAAAAGCTAATAAAAAGGTAATTGATATCTAATAAAAATAAAATTATTGTATAACTGATTAGAATTACAGAGTTAATGAATTGGTGAAACAACCATATTAAATCATAATTTAAAATTACATATTGGCTTTCTATGAAGGATCAGATAGATACATATGCTCTCAGATATGGAACACATAAAATATAGGCATGATATGTCTATGTACAGACAAACTTTTTTTCTTACTATTATACTTTCATATACATTTTGAATAAAGTGTATCAGGTCTTAAGGTCTGTCATGTATTATCAAGCTATTTACTAATCATTTCTTGATTCAACAAGTGCTTAGAGAAGGCAGGGTTCTAGTTGTGCATATAGATAAAGTCTGTACATACAGATAAAGTAGTTGTGCTCAGGGACCCTATTTTCTTGTGGGTATGCTAGAAAGTAAACAAGCAAATAAACAAGATAATAAGAGGTTCTTAAGTGGTAGGTAGAAAACAACAGGATAATGAATTGGAGATTGCTTGTGGATGATACTTTAAATAAGTAGATGCATGTATGTCTGCTAAATGGTAAGACATTTGAGTGAGCTTCTAAGGATGAGAATGAACTGGTGAGGAGAAGGCTTGGCAGAAGAGGTAAGGCGTGCAAAGCCTGTAGGTGGGGAAGGGCTAGGCATATTCAAGGAAAAGAAATGCCATTGTGGCTAATGTGGTGAACAAGATGAAAGTTGCTATGAGATGATGGTGAAGAGGTAGTAGGAGCAAGATTTTGAAGGCCTTCTGCCAAACAGAACCTAGGTTTTATTCCATGAGCAACAGTGAATATTTGAAGGTGCCCATATAAGTTCCTCAGTGATGGAAGTCAAAGATTTGGGCAAGAATTTTGTGGAGCAGACATACCAAAGATATGTTTTAAAGGTAGAACAAGATGGACTATTTACAGTTCTTACACTGATTTACTTAAGTATATTCATTAGATACTTTAAACATAGCACAATGGATGCTCCCTTGAATGTCTAAAATATTACCTTAGAACAAATATTCCTTAACACTCAAAAAAATCTTTTTTATAAAACCAGTTAGTTAATAAGGATAGTGACATATATCCAAAAAGTCTTTAATAAGAGCAGATATTTCAACATATACATATTAAGTTAATTTTCTGTGTCATGGCAGAGCTGAAATATTGCATCGGGAAAGAATCATTTTACACACATATACACCATGTTTTATATCGACCACATCCTAAGGAATAGAAGCATCACCACCTGGCACTTTGGCAATTTCAGAAAATCCTGACAATTTTGCCTCTATAGTCACTGGGACATGTGCAGCACCAAGGAAAAGTTAACCACTGTCACCATGTAATTACTTCAACTTTTGAGTTGACAGGAAGAAAGGGCAGCACACTGTGATGCGATGGGAAATGGTTCAGAGGGTAGAATCTGGGACATAAGCTTCCTGATAAGATACTTATTAGTCTTTCCCAACAGAGTTCAGTCCTACTCCATCCTGAGTTCTTTGAAAGTTTGTGCTACTTGTTAAAAGATCAGCAAGTTAGAAACTGGTTTGAACTTTCCATAGTCGTAGAAAATAGCACATATCTAGTTTAACTCAGAGATGTTGGTCAAAGGATATAAAATTTCAATTAGGAGGAATAAGTTTAAACTCTACTCTACAACATGGTGACTAGAGTTAATAACATAGTGTATTATATTCTTGAAAAATGCTAAGACAGAGAGTGGTAAATGTTCTCACCAATTTGGTCACTTAAATGCTTTTTATTAACAAAGAGGCACTGACTGTGGTTGGAGGAAATAATTTACCATGTTCAAATTCATGACAAAGATTGGAAAAACAAATGAAGTGATTCAGTGTCTAACACAGTACTGGCCATTTAGGGGGCTCCCAATATGCACTACTGAATGTGAATTAATTTCAGAATGTCTTAATTACCTCAAATGAAAAACAGCTCAAGGTAGTAAACATTATTTAAAAAAACCTACCTTTATCAGTGGATTAAAACAGGTTCTTTTTGCAACTTCAGAAACTAGGTACAGAGATTCACATTAAACAAATAGGTACACATGTTCTGTTTAATTTTTATTGTGCTTACTTTTGCATTTTATATTATTGTTTATTTGCTTAAATATTCTTTCATTAAAATGGATGCTGAGGTAATAATGCCATGTCATACGAGTATTGGACAAGTAGTTATTTGAGCCTCAGCATTGGAAAGCCACCTTGAAGTGGCATCAAAAATCTTAGATTGAGGTCACTGCTCAGCTTATTTGATAGGAGCTATAATCCAGTGACCCTGAAGAAATATGCTGGACCATTTATTATTAGAACTGGAAAAAATTAATGAGACAGTAAAGGGGAAGTACCCTAAGAAAAGGACATTTATATTGAAAAAAATTAATTTACCTAAGGGTGAAACTGAAGTACAGTTTTAGAGACCCTTTTAATTTTACATTTCTTTTTAATTGGTGCAAAACTTGTATGATACATATATGCCACAATATTTCCCTTAATGTTGCATAGGCTGGATCTGATATTCAAGTTCAACTCTAAAGCATGTATCAGCTGTAAATGGACATTATCTTTTTCTAGTGTCTAGAAAATAACATTCAAAGAAAAAAATTCTGCAGCATGAAAGGTTACATTAGATTAAAAAATACATATTTTGCTCTTTAATGTGTTTAACTTTTTTTCAGATTTATTAGTTGATTGGAACTGATCTCCACCTTCACATCTGCAAGACAATGGCCCTTGCATATTGAAGGCTTAATGCTTGATTTTATTTTATTTCAATAAATATTGAGCAGAGCACTTATTAGAATCTGTGTAGACTATAAGGGGAAGTGAGTTACAAACTCTTTCCTCCAAAAACTTACAATTTAGTGGATCTAAAAATCAAAAGAGGCTGCAAAGTTTCACAGGTGGGAGATATTATTTACCTGGTCACCAGGCAGTGCTTAAAGGGAGCAGCTGAATTTACAGTACACCTTGAAAGAGACCATGTGCTTGTCAAGTCAGATGGGGGAAGAGAGAGGCATTGGAAGGTCAAGGCCAAAGTACCCTAATAAGCACAAGACTTAAAGAGTTTAAGTGGTTCTGTTTTGGAGGGTATGCTGAAATACAATACAGAGTTTCAAACTTACTTTGAAATCTGAAGAATGCATTTACAGTTTAACTTTTTTGTTTTAAAATAATTGTGGACTCAGGAAGTATACAGTACAAAGAGTCTAATGTACCCATCACCCAACCTCCCCCAGTGCTGATATCTTGTATAGCTATTGCACATCAAAACCAGAAAATTGACATTACTATTATCTAGAATGCAGACTTTATTTTCACCATTTTTTAAAAACCTGCACTCATTTGTGTGTGTGTGTTTGTGTGATAGCATTTTCACTCTTTAATCAGCAGAATTACATAATTGGAGGTAGGATTTAAGATTATTTGGGAACACTGAATAGGCAAGACTGGAAGTATGAAGACCAAATGAAAAATTCTCACAGTAGTACAGAAGAGGAACAGTTACAAATTGGGATGGATGGTGCCCAGCACAGCACTGAACCCTGCAAAAGTACTTAGTGAGTAAGAATTTCTATTTTCAAACGGCATGTTTTTCAAATGTAAAGGAAAAAAGACTATTTTCAATTTCACAATGTGTATACAATGGCAGGAGTTAAAAGAATGGTAAGACATAGTCAGAACCCAGTGAAATTCTCAGTTCAGCCTGCTGAACTATATACTGCAGAAGCCCAATACGAGGAGATTGGTTAAAGAAGACAATTCTCAATTTGAATGAAGTAAGCTGCACAGGTCAGAGAAAGGTCAGATTCAGACTCCAGGGCATACACAGGCAATTAGAGCACTATTGGGAGAAAAGTGAAAGGCATCTGCTTCTTGCCCTAACTGCTAGTAGACAGGTTATTATTGTTTCTACGTAGCTCACTGCTAGTTGAAATATCAAAAACAAAAATCTGCTTTTTAAATTCAAAACCTTTGAAAAATTTCAATGTCCTAGGAGAAAGTTCTAAATTTTTTTTAGGATTTTAAAAATTAAATGCTAAGAAAATTTTCTAAGACAGCAGTTATCCTCTTTTATTCAGTACACTGATTGCATAACTTTATTCCCTGTATGTCTCAAAATCTCTTATAAAGGTCAGTATTTGCTGGGTAGACACACTCAGAATTGCAGAACTTAGATACATGATTTTCTGGCTGAGGGATTATAAGCAAGGTGTTTAAACATTTTCTAAAACTTGATAACCTCATCAGTTACATAAGAGTGTTGGAGTCAACAGGTGCCTCCCATTCTAACACTCTCAAAATAAATCTTAATTCTCAAATACCTTTTTATTACTGTTTTTTTTTTTTTTTTTCATCAGGACAGTGTCTGTCACACAGTTAGCATTCAATGCAGGTTTTCTGAATGAATTTTTTGTAGAATTTTAATTCCAAAAGCTTTCAAGTATTTTAAAGTAGTTTTTAGATCTTAATACAGTAAAATTGCTTAAGCATAACATGTTGCAAATTTGCCCTTTTATCCTTTATATTTTATGTATTGTAAAAATATGTAAGTCACTTAGTCTCTTTTGGACTCAGTGATTTTATATGTAAATATGGGAACTAAGCTTCTAAAACTGATTCTATTTTTTAAAAAAATGAATAACATTAATTAGTAGAAAAATTATACATATCTGATATAGCAGTATTTCACATCATAGTTTCTTAACTTCTTATATAAGTTGCAAATTTGCTTTTTATAAAATGTATAAGATATATTTAAACTAAATTGGTAGGCATTTAATAAAACTGCTCATACTAAATGTAAATGTAATGAGCCAAAAATAAGAGCTAACATCTAGTGAGTCTAATAAGTTACAGCCATTGAGATATCATTATTATGCCAATTTTATAGAATAGAAATCATAGGCCATAAAGGTGATATAGCCAATAAAAAAGGAAGTCAGGATTTGAACACAGGTAGCATGGATTCCAGAGCTATGTGTTTAACCAATACTTTATACAGTGTGTCACTCTGTATCACTTCCAAGATAGAGAAAAATCCCTGAACCATATTTTTTTAGCTAGGGAGCAGGACAATGTTTATACATTGCTTGCTACCGTAGCTTCAGGTCTGAAATTTTATGGACAAAGTCTCTAATGACTGCCTGTAGAATATCCACCTTGTGCTATAAATGCAGTTAGCACTTGGGGACAGTCCAGACATGGGATGTAGATAATCATAAGTTTCTTTTCAATAGATACAAAATTTTTCAAATAGTATATGATCCACATAATTTGCTATTTAGGAAGGTAGATTTCTGCAGAGAGGATAGAGGAAAATAGTTTATATATGAACAAGTCTTCTAGAAAATATGGACATACATTTCATAATTTTTCAGATATTGCCTGTCTTCACAATATAAGTATATAAAATGAACAGATAAAATTTCATTTATGCCACTGAGTCATTATATGATTTTTTATAGCCAAGCCCGTCCCAGTTTTTTATTTAATAAAGAAATTCTGCTTTGGGGTCTCATTTTTTTGGTCTCTCCTCAAATTATAATTATACTGTATTGACAACTTTATTTTTATTATGTGTAGTTGTACAATACTGAATAGATTGCCTTGCATCTTAATTTTAATCACTTGAAATGTCCCACTTCAACAGATAGTTTAATAGGAAAACAAAAATGTTTTAAGAAGCATTAGAGTGAAAAAATAAATAAAATAAGTGCCATTAGACTCCAACATTTTCCTCCCAAGAACACTCAATTCCAGATGACTTACATAGAGAAATGACTAGTTAGGCCCTTAGTGGATGTTACACCAAGAAGTTTGAGAAGCTAGTTAAATAGGGTGAACAGATTTCTCTGTTACAGAGCTTTTTACTCTCTTTAACCTCTAATGTATTTAATTAAATACTTTCCAAACCTAATCTGATCATTATTGAACATTTCATGGCGATAATGTTTCACGAAACTCTGTGAATATTTACATCAGTAGACTTTAAAGGAGGCTAGACATTAGAATCACCTAGCCAGTTTTTGAAACATATCCCTGAAAGAGCAATCCAATCTTAGTCTTTGGTGGGTGGGAGCCTGCAGTAGCAGGAAGCTATAATGGCTTCCCAAAGATGCTTTTGTTCTAATTCCTGAAACCTGTGACTATGTTACATGGCAAAAAGGAATTAAGGTTACTAATCAACTGATCTTAAAATTGAAAGATTATTCTGAGATATCCACATGGGCTCAATATAATGACAGAAGTCTTTAAATGTAGCAGAGGAAGAAGAGTCAGTGTCAGAGTGATGCATGGGAGAAAGACTCCACCAGCCACTGCTGGCTTTGAAGCTGGAAGAAGAGGCCACCAGCCAAGGAATGCAGGTGGCATCTGGAAGCCACAAAGGCAAGAAAATGCATTCTACCCAGGAACCTCTGCAAAGGAACACAGCCCTGCTGACATCTTGAGGCTGGTCAAGGAGACTCATTTTGGACTTCTGAGCTCCAGAGCTCAAAAATAATAATTGTGTTGTTATGAGCTACTAGATTTATGGTAAATTGTTTTAGTAAAAATAGGAAATGAATACAGGGCCCAAGCATTAGTCATTTCTTTTTTCTTTTTCTTTTTTTGAGACAGAGTCTTGTTTTGTCACCAGGTGCCAGGCTGCAGTGCAGTGGCGTGATCTCGGCTCACTGCAACCTCATCCTCCCGGGTTCAAGCAATTCTCCTGCCTCAGTGTCCCGAGTAGCTAGGACTACAGGCGTGCGCCACCATGCCCAGCTAATTTTTGTATTTTTAGTAGAGATGGGGTTTCACCATGTTGGCCAGGATGGTCTCGATCTCTTGACCTCGTGATCCGCTCACCTCGGCCTCTCAAAGTGCTAGGATCATAGTCGTGAGCCACCGTGCCCGGCCAGCATTAGTTATTTTAAGAGTACCAGATAATTCTAATATGCAGTCAGACTGAGAACCTCTAATTCTGATGAACGGCTGCTCCTTAGAATCCCATAAGAAGTTTTTGATATGTCTTTCATCTACCACCAGGGATCCAAATTCACTTTCCAAGTATCGACTTATTTAATCACCAGAAGCACAATTTTATTTAATTAGTTAATTAATTAATTTTTTTGAGATGGAGTTTCACTCTTGCTGCTTAGGCTGAAGTGTAATGGCAACATCTTGGCTCACCGCAATCTCTGCTGCCCCAGTCCAAGAGATTCTTCTGCCTCAGCCTCCCTAGTAGCTAGGATTAAAGACATGCACCACCAGGCCCAGCTAATTTTGTACTTTTAGTAGAGATGTGGTTTCTTCATATTGGTCAGGCTGGTCTCGAACTCCCAACCTTGGGTTTTCAGTTTGCCTCAGCCTCCCAAAGTGCTGGGATTATAGGCATGAGCCACCATGCCTGTCCCAGGGGCACAATTTTTTTAAAGGAAGTTGTCCAGTGTTACCTAACTACTAAGTTATAAGCTTTAAGCCTGCACAGGCTGGTTTGTATAACCACCATCATGATTTAAATGCTTATGTAGAGTCTGTTTAGTTCTGGTTTTAAACATCATTACAATTACTGGTTATTTTCTGAGTTCCCTTTTTACAAGAAAAGCAGGAAATTAGAAATGAAAGGTGCCAGTAGAAATAAAAACACTGATGGTAGTATACTTATGATTCTGAGGGATAAGAATTAAAAATGTAATATCCTCCCATGTTCAAAAATCATGAAAATCTGAGGACTTTGTGGGAGTTGTGTTACCAAATGCAGCAATGTTTAGTGCTATTGGGAGTACTAGTGTATTTGAATAGAGTTGAATTAATAACTGATTTATCAAGAAAAACTCATTTTTCTTTTGTAGACCACTCATGAGACGGGGTATATATTTATAATTTCTTAATAGTAATTTATATAAGTAAAAATACTTCTGAGAGAAAGAAGCATCCATCGTCTGAATGTTTTAATAGATGGGCCATGAATTTTCAAAACAATTCAATAAAATATATTATGATATGTGCATATGCTATGTTCCATATGGAAAACCTCCCGGTTTGCATATCAGCCCTATTCTATTACCTTTTATAAATAAAAGGCCATTCTAAACCAACTGAAATGTCAACACTCTGACATTTTGGTGACATACTTAGGAGAGGCACAAAGATGCCAAAACAAATCTATAAAATCCAGTAGATTTATTTATGAAACATTCAGATTTTAAGAGTTAGGAAGACAAACAGCAAAACCAAATTCCCTTGTGTTCGAGTACTTGCCATTTTGTTCACCCACATTAAAGACCATAATCCCAGTATATGATAGGTCTTTCAAATTTCCAGCCTTCCTTTCCTTTGGGTGTTGTAATCAAAAGAGCACCTAACGAAACACAAAACACTAGCTAGTTGTGTGACACTGAGCATAAGCCATAAAACCACAGCAATTTCTCCTGATCTGTAAAATGCACATTGCACCTGCTTTTTCTACCCCACAGGATTTTGAAAAATCAAATGACAATGTTTGGGAACGTTTTTTTGAAATAGTAAAGCACCATGTAACTAATGATTCCATGTTATAATATGGATTCCAAGGGTT